ATAACCCACCTTGCCTGAGACCAGAGAAACTTCTTCCCACATTTAGTTGCCCAGGCTGACTGAGTCTGGAGAAATTTGAGTAACTGATTCAAGTATGTTTTTCTTCATGGAGTATTTTAAGCTTAAGGTACAAGGTCCTTCTCTGTAGACTTCAGGTACATTAGTTCATCAGTTGCAGGTGGGTGTAGATGGAGCCAGCTGTGTTTACTGCTACAGCAGTACCTTAAATACAGCACCAAAGAAACAGGTCTTTCATGGGTTATTTGCTTTGGTGCTGTATTTAAGGTACTGCTGTAGCAGTAAACACAGCTGGCTCCATCTACACCCACCTGCAACTGATGAACTAATGTACCTGAAGTCTACAGAGAAGGACCTTGTACCTTAAGCTTAAAATACTCCATGAAGAAAAACATACTTGAATCAGTTACTCAAATTTCTCCAGACTCAGTCAGCCTGGGCAACTAAATGTGGGAAGAAGTTTCTCTGGTCTCAGGCAAGGTGGGTTATCTGAGGCCCCCGCTGCCCTCCCACTCTTCTCCACTGAAGGCAAAGCCAGGTCAGATATTACAGCAATGATCCCCAAATGAGCGGTCATCACCCCAAGCAAGAAACACAGGACCAAAATGTGGGGTCACGAGCTTGCGAGAATGCAGCATCCCCCGTTGTACTAAGAGTTTGGGAGCCTGAGAGAAGCTGCAGTTCAAATCATTCAGGTACCACCACTGTAGGCTAATATATACCTGGGCAAACTGCTTCAGCCTGAGGCTGGCCTGGCCATGTGATAGCAGCAGGCTCCTGACCAGTCCCAGGATGGCTCAGCCCTAACGTAACAAACCACAGCTCCTGTTTGTAGTCATTGCAGGTGATCCCAACTGCAGAGGGATCTCAAGACCCTACGACCTCTCCAAAACCTTCCCCACGAGCCGAGCCTCAAGCTACTCTTCACCTGCTTTCATCCTTACCCTCTGTCCCTTCCAGTGTCCTCTCTTCCTTCACTTAAGGTCAGTCCCTTCCCAATATCCCCACCACCACTATTCCCGAAAACAGACTAATGAAATACCTATGGCCATGCCACGGCTTCTTTTTCTTGCATTTTCCTCCCACCTGTCCCACCCCTTCCACAACACATCAGCTCTGAATGCTTGCATCTCTCTGCACACACCACCACAAAAAGGTTCCCCCTCTTGGCTGAGATTTTGGCTAATAATAATTAAGATGGGTTATAATTGTCACTGACTCAAAATGACACCAATCTCTCATGCAGCAGCTGAAAGCCAGACTCAAATTCACCCCTTCTGCTATTTGTACAGCACCCAGCACCACAGGCACTTCACCTTGAACAATCACTGGGAGCTCTTTGTGAGACTAAAAACTTCTAGATCTGATTTTTTTTTTTTTTTCCCCCCATCAAGAGGCCTTCCAGGAAAGTGCTGCTACTCTCTAACATTGCTTGGACCGTCACAAGCCTTGCTCAGCACACAGATCAGTCTCACCATGTAAAAGCTGCCAGTGGCCAGGACTGCAGAAAAGCAGGGTGAGTTTGTTTAAATGGCTTTTATGTTGCCTAACAAGGAAACATCATTTATCATCACACCGGTTCCTTTCATTGCAATTCGGTGCTGGAGGCTAATTTATACAGAATCAATGGCAAAACAGTTAGCTGGGAGTTTATTTTACTAAGCATTTGGTCATGTCAATCCATTTCATAACTGCCTCTCCTCGTTAAATATCCCCCCCAGGGAAACAGTTACAGCATATCCACTTCCAGCACCACGTCCGGCTGCGCTAGGTGGAAGATGTGCTTGCAATACAGCTTCTATCAAAGAGCCGCTCACAGCCACGAAACAAATGGACCGACCTGCCAGGGAGGTTGTGTAAGAGACAACAGCAAAATTACATCTCTCTGCAGAGAACTGTGTTATCGAGAGTGAAAGAATAACAGACACATGTTCATCCGATGAATGTGTTTCCTTAAAACAAAGGAAAAAAAAAAGTGCTTAGACCTGATTTAATCTTTGGAGCATATTACGCAGAAACTATTCTCAAGACACCAGCATTGAGAGCATAGATCCGTTACTTGACAAAACAAAAAGAGATATAAAGAAAAGGGAGAGGTGCTTGCAGAAGAGAAGAAATGCGACAATTGTTCCACTCTATTGGTGCGATGCAGCATTGTCCAGCTTCCCTCAGTGCTTTCAGAAATCTTCGCTTAAAGTCCCTCGAAGCAGAGGGTTTTGCATGGGATGGCACAATAAACGGGGCAAAGAAATCCTAACTCGGATTTGATTCCCAGGTCAAACTCTGTTGATGATACAGGTCCTCCAAATTTATTAACAAAAAGTGTTCAAATTCATCAATTCACCATCAAAGGTCTGTTCCAAGCCAGGCTGCCCTTGGGCCACCACAGATGGGGAAGGCAATGCAAAACCATGGCTGGTGTCTTGTGAGACCGTCTCCATTCTGCTTTTCACAAACACCTTGTCCCCCAGTCTTGTGACTTCTGAGTACAGCGAAAGGCTGTGTAACTTCTGGAGGAATCTGCTTGTCCACCGTTCACAACACCACTTTATTTTGCAAGCCCTTCTGCGGTCTTTTTAGGTACCACCACGTTTTCGGTTATCGATGGGATCTCAACTTCCATCAGCTGATGGGAGCAGGAAGAAGAGCACCAGGTTATTGGAAAAGGCAGAAGGCTACATCTGCCTTTCACCAAGTGATGAATATCTGTCGGATCAAGCCATGACAGACTGTCATTGCCAGAAAAGACTATTTCAAAAGCTCTGAATGTTGATGGCCTCCAGCGTAATGATGTGCTGCTCCCTCTCACATCACTGTTGCTTATCAAGAAAGCACATGAACTGTCCCAAAGACCAGAGCATCCATGCAGGTTAATCACTTCTCACAGTCTGAGCTCAACAGTTTCAATTGTAGCTTTTAAACGCATTTGGTTTGGTTAAATGTATCTCCCCGGGAACCAGAGAAAACACCCAAAATATGAAAAGGGCCAGATGATACCATGCAATTTTTTTTACCTAGTTTATTTTCTTTTAATAGCACTTGAATTACTTGCAATGATCAGCCGAGAACCTTCTTGTGCTAGGTGCTGTACAAAATCAGAGAGGAGATGAAGAGCAGGAAATCTAAATGAATCAGATAAAGATAAGAGTAAGACTTTTTCTCTTTTTTAGGGATGGAGACCTGAAACATGTCTCCAGCTTCCTTCCTCAGACAGACTCATGGTGGTCTGGGGGAATCTCCCAAAGCCTTGCTGCAGTTTTTCCGTGCAAGCTATTTCGTTTCACATGGATCAAGAGGAGCGACACAAAGGCAAAAAGAGAACTTACGTTTCTAAAGCACAGGTGAGGCGCTGCCTCCGCTCCACACTGCTTCTGGTAGTCTGCCCAGTCAAAGTCCTGGCCAGAGTAACCTGCAGGATGACAAAACAGCAAGTGCCATCAGCCACCACGTCACACCAGAGACAGAGAGCACGAAATGGGCCCCAAGCAGACGACCAGTTGTGTTTCAGCATCCCATCCCACCTCGGTGAACTGCACACTATCAGCAGGCAAGTTCTCCGGATGCCTGTTTATACACCACGAGAGCCAAAGCCAATGCTTCTCCAGCCCCCACTCACACACCTTCTGCGTTTCACTTCGAACACTCCAGGTCTTCATTAAAAAGTAATAAAACATATATTTTCCTTATTTTCCCTTTCCTGTGAGCATCTCCCAGGCTTTAAAAAACCTAGAACTACCAAGGAGTGCTACTGTCCCCAATTTCCAGGTGGGGCTAGCCATCGACTCCTTTCTCCTTCCTTTAGCTATCTAAAAGATGGGGTTATGGAACTGGACATCAAGGGTCCCTCAGCAGCAGACAGGGAGAGGACCAGCACAACCAGAAGCTGATCCATCCTCTCTTTCAAAGCATGAGATAAATTCTCCTCTCTCTTCCTTGATATATCAATATATCATTGATATATTCATTGATACCCTCGAGTGACTTCCCAGCAGCTCAGTGTACGTGAGCTGAATCCCACCACAGTGAGAATGTTATCCAAGGTTTTATAGAATTCCAGAGCAGAGGAGGAAAATGAATGCAGATTTCCCAGCTCCCAGACTAAAGTCTCAGCAACTGGGTGATCCGTTCAGCCTCTGGTTCTAGGAAAAAAATTGATTTATATAAGCATCTCTCAAACAGTCCCATCACAGAGAGACAAAACAGACCTCTGCTCATCCATTCTTCTTACACGGCTATTTAGGCAATAAACTCTTGGGACAGAGAGGAGGTTTTTTATTTGCTTTTGGGTTTTTTTTTTTTTTGTCTGCCTCAGTCTATATTTTCACAATGCTTGAAACCAAAGACTGCTAATCCTTTCGAGGGCCCGGTGACGATATTGTTGATACTCTAATAACACTATTGCAGAACTGCTCACACTGGAAAGTTTCAGGAGTCACTTAAAGGCCAAATTCTCCCCTCAATCTCCCTTCCTGGCATCTCAGGCTGGCCTCATTTCACAGAGCATCCCTTAATGCCTTTTTCATTGATAGTCAAAAAGGGACACTCAAGATCAGATAGGAATGAATCATTTATGAAAATGAAAATTGTGACATTTTTTTGTAGGCAAGAAAGGACTAGACTACTGAGTGCAGTCACCTATCAGTCACCCAGATCCAAAAAAGGAGGTAAAAATTTTGAAAATAAAGTCCCAAGGATCCAGCTAAGATGCAAGTGTCTGGGATAAGATGAACTTCTAATCCTAATAATTGCATACACGACAAACAAATTAATGAGATAAAGCCTTGAGCTAAGATGCCTGTCTCTGTGGGGCATGAAAGTGCATAATAATTGGAAAGCTAGAAATAAACATGCACAAAGAAGTAAAAAAGGGCAATTACTTTTACAGAATGTTCATTTTTCATACAAAAAAAAAATCCTTGCACTGTTTTTTAACAACCAATTTCTGCAACAGCATTCTCTTCCCGTATCTCCTCTATCTCCTTTTTTCTCTCCAGTTATTTGTTTGCCAGGTACTTCTCAGCTTCATAAAATGAAATGGAAAACAGGAGAAGTGCACATCGCATCGGAACAGGATTCCTCTGATCGCATACGGATGTTTGCAGTGGAGATGCCTACAACTGCGCCTGTCACCCCGGGTTCCCTAAAGGGTCCGTGGAAAACCAGGCAGATCTAGAGGTGATCTGTCTGTCCTCCTGCAGAAGGCACAGAATTGCCCCGCGAAAAGTCCCTCTCCACCAACTCCAGAAGGAGCCAGGGTGATGGGCTGAGGTGGGGACCGCCACAGCGCAGTTGTCTACGTTAAACCACCCGGGGTCCACCCCAGCTGCCAGAGGACGTTGCCTTCAGAGACCCAAAAACCTGCCCGCACCCCGCACGTTCTCATCTCCGATTTAAGCCCCTCACGGACAGGTTTGGAATCTTAACTGCAAGCTATGCAAAATCTTGGCAGAGTGGATGGAAAAGGCACATGGACAAGGTTTCAGTGAGGTATAAAAACTTGAGTGTGTTGTCACCGCACAACCACCCGTTGGCTTGGCCCCGCACCACTGAAATCTTTTGCCGTAGACTTTAGCAGGAACGAAACCTGGGACGGCAGTTAGAGAGTTTGCCATAACTCACTTCAGCAGCCCGACGAGGATGACTCCAAGAGGAGCATACTCAGGAACTGGCTTCCAATAAGCCTGTGTATGGCTGGGAGCGTGGAGCATCACGATATAAGCTACCTCCCTCAGCAGATGGGGAGCTACCACGTACCCAACACCTCCATTAGCATTCATATACCATTATCCTTTAAGGCTCAGCCCAAGTAATAACATTCAAAGCTTTGCTTGCGTGATTCAACTGCTGCTCCTCAAACATGTAAAACCTCATTGTGTTTGCCATCTCAACTCTCAGCATGGAAGAGCTCAGCTGTCTAATCAGAAGCAAATATAACAATACAAATGTACTGGAGGTTTTGGAAGTGGCATTTCCTTAGTAAGCCTTACAACCAGGAGCGCTACTGAAGTGTTTTTCCCCCTCTTAATAGCTCATAAAAAGGAACAATGGTTGTTACTCTAAAGGGAAGTGGTCTATAAATCCAGCTCTAATAAATATAAACAGCGCTTGTTCAATGTTTATACAGCAGCAGTAAATGGGTATTCATTTTTGGCACCGTACAGGAAAATACTGTGCTCTATTTCTAGTAGCAAATGTTTGCACCTCCTGTTCATGACTCATCTACTGTGTGTTTGGCTTCAACAAAGACCTGACAGGCAAAAAGGCCAGAAAATGGGTATCAGGCAAATAAAGGACTCTGAACCCAAATGCCCCAACCTGGCACACTGTTTTGATGAAATAATATCAGGTAATTTTAAAATCTGAAAACCTCCTTGTCAACCAAAAATTAACCAAAAAACCCAAGCCCAGAATACAGCAAAGAAATCGTTTTCACAAAACCAAAAAGGACTTCTTCCATTTTCAGCTTTCGCTCCACGGGAACGTCTTGCCTTTCAACAAGGAGAGCCATTTGGACAACAATACAAATGGTCAACATATCCTCTGTTAAGGATGATGTTGGCTGGGAATGCATGAGCGCTGGGAAGCGGAAGGCTGGTCAAATCTGGTGTGAGAAAGGGCAATTCTAGACACCCCAAGGAAGGCAGAACTGTCCAGTGATTTGGGTGGAAATGGTGGGATTTCTTCCCCCTGCAGACCTGCTCATTAGCAGCCAGCTCACACCACAGCCTTCCTCGCTTTCGCAGCATTGCAGCCCACTCGTATCACTTCTGGTTATTTCTTTATCCAAAGCTGGTATTATTCTGCTCAGAGAAGACTGGCTCCCTCAGTGGGAGTTTGGATGCTTTTCACTTTCCCTGTGCTTTCTTTTTTGGTGGTTTGTGGGGTTTTGTTGTGGGTTTTTGGTTTTTTCTTTTAAAGAAATCATTCTAATATCTGATTATATTTTAGTGACTCAAACAGCGTATCTGCCAATGGAAGAGTTTTTTGACACCAAAGGTCCTAAAACACAGTTTGGGCATGCAGCCCTCATAAACAATGTAACAAACATGGCAATATATAGCATGCATCTATCTGCCACTTCTTTTATACCTTTTTAATAGCTTCCCCCCACAATTTCTGATCTGACAGCAGAAAGCAAACTATTTTCATCAGCAGAATGAGGGAAGACTTTCTACACTTTCCCAGGAGCCCAGGTGAACCCCAGTCATCAGGCATCACACCAGATAATTACTTGCCCCTTAGACTTTACTGGCCAAGTTGAGAAATACCCATATGATGGATGCTACAGCCACTTCTAAAAATGCTGGCATTTAAAAGAGAGTCTGCATGCACTTGACCTGTAAAACACCTCCTCAGACAGGCTTTGTATGGATTGGAAATTATTAGGCCATGACCCTGTAAAGGGACATGTTTGGCCTATGGTCTACTTTAGTTAATTAGCTGGCCTGGGGGAAGCTGCATGAGAATTTGGGATGAAAAAAACCAAAACATTCCATTTACTTTCATTTTTAGCAACTTTTCTGGCCAATATCAGTGAGCGCTTACACAGACATTATCATTACACCTGGATTTAAGCAGGAGGGAGCTAAAACATCCAGACAGCACGTTTATTTCAGTAAAAGCAAGAGACTAATTATGGATGCACCGTACGCAGCTGCACGCACAGGACTCCAGGACTTTGGTGGGAATTTCAAATCACATGTGCTGAAGAGACATTCTGGATATACATAACAGGACTCTGAATCTGGTAGGGAATAACTCTTCGCTTCCCTGGGCTTGGCAGCAGCATACTTTTTCCAAAATTAAGACAAATCTGCATGTGCAAAACTTAGTGGGATTTTTTTTTTTTTTTCGGAGGCATTTCTTTTTCTCCCAAGAACACCAAATTTTGGCAAAGGGTCAACATTCCAGCCAGCTTCAAAAATCTAAAATTCCAGAGAACCAACACATTTTGCAAGCAAAGAAATATTGCTAGGGCACTGCAGGTGGTTGTCTGAAATTGCAAGTAATTAACTGCGCTGCTACAAAGTTGGGTAATAGCAGGGCTGGAGGCTGTTTCCCCTGGCTCTGACCTGTACGCTGCTCGCAATTTGCCCTCACCTGGGTTTTTTTGAGACAGCTAAGGAAATGCCTACACACTCCTGGGCAGGCAGCTGTGAGTTTAGTTTAGGCATTGAGATTTAGGAGCTTTGCTTGGCCTCAGCGTTGTACCAAGGTGGATACTACAGGGAGATGCCTGGTTTGCCTCTAGCATGATACGACTTTTAATGCTCCTTTTGCTCTCTACATGCACAAAGCATCGCGAAGATGCATTTCACAGGAATTCACTAGGCTTCGGTGCAGCCTGCTTCAGACTACAAAGCACACGGACATCAATCCGCCAGCAAGACACGTTTGCAGAGATGTCCATGAGCTGGTATGAGCCAGAACAGCCCCAGCGACTCAAGAGAGCCACTCTGGCTTGAGATACTTAGGGTGATGATCTGCTGTGAACAGCATCGTGGTTTTAAAGGCGATCAACAACAAGCAAACTTCCTTCAGAGGAAACTTGCAAATCACCGAGAAGGAATACGAACCCTTGGGAGGTGTGAGATTGACTCCGTTTTTAAGGCACCACTGTATTGGCAAGATCCCTAAGGAATCCGCATGGCAAAGCATTGAGATTTTGCTGGGTTCAGGTCTCAAGTCATCAATGGTCACTTGTAAATAATGATTGTTAAAAACCTAAGGGGTTAAAAAAGAAGAAAACAAAATCAGAAGTTAAATTTGCTATAACATTAGGTAACGTGGAAAGCTGAAACAGCCAGGCCCTAGAATCAAACTACTCCTGAAAATAACCCGCTCTCACCTAACACTTTTCATCAAAGTGTTTCTACCAAAGAGATTAAGGCCCAAGTTTGAGAGACAGGTAAACTGAGGCAAGGGAAAGTGCTGGGGTTCAAGGTTACCCAGTGTGCCTATAGCTGAGCAGGGACTGGAAGCGATCCTGGAGACCCCAGAGCCTTCCTCTCTCTTGCCTTTGAGAGTGCGGATTAAATATCCAGCTGCCACCTCCACCCAGCTGTTTTATTTCAAAAGGTTTCCCAGATGTGCAGGGAAAATACCTATGCATGGATGGGAGACCGAGGTAAAAGAGGGATCCTTTTGTTTTTTACATGGAAGTGGTAGATGGACATACTCATCCCCATTGGATCTAAGTGCATACAGTCAGCTGGTGATGTTCGTAGGAAACAAACAATTCATTACTTAGGAACATCCATGGACTTTAAACATATTTCTTAATGTGTTCTCCAGCCAATTAAGTACCGCTCTTGAGTTTTCCTAAATTTGGTGGAAATCAGTAAGAGGCTCCGGCTCTTTTCATCCGTTCTTTCTGGGAGCTCACCTTGGTCACTGATGCAGGACAGATATGAAACGGCTCCCTCATATTCACCGCCTCCAGCTTCATCCCCACAGTGAAGAAGTGGTTTCGCAAATCAGCATGGTCCTGTGGGAAGAGATGGGAAAGAGGAACACATGGCATGCCAGCGCCGTCCACCAAGGAAGGGCCGATACATTTGGAAATCTATTTGAAATGTGTCCATACGGATTTTGTCACTTAGCCAATTACCAGATAGACCCCCAGCTCCAACTGGGCACTCCTGGTCTTACCTTATTTTCAGGCTAACCCAACCACAGAAAGAGAAGGGACAGCCTCACTCCTAGAGGACAGGTCTGCAGCACCAAGCCCATCCTACCTAAAGGACAATGTGTGTCCATCTCAGCAGCAGCATCTAACTTGACCTTGGTCAACAAGATCGTGCTCACCAAAACGAGGAGCTGTCTGAGAAACAAATACTTGAAAATCTCCCCTGGGTAGAGCCTCTTCACCTCTGACACCCGCTACCATCTAATAGCAACTGAAGGTGTCAAGATTCAACCTGACATCCCCCAGGGTAATGCACAGCATGTATGCAAACAGCTCAGGATGGCCCTAACTGACCCTGATGGATGTCCAGATTCTGCAGGGCACCAATATAAGGACCTGGGCTGGTTTCCATGTGCTGCAAGATAGAAAGGTCTTTGCTCCAGCCGGGAGACTAAAGGTGGACAAAAGCCCAGACAATGAACTCGGACCAAAAACGTGGGCAACGAGAACATGGTGGGAAAACGTGCAACGGTGTTCAAGTATATGCCCACTGCAACACTTCCACCTGGGATCAAACCTGGCTGCATCCAAAGGGCTGCACCCAGAGGGTTGCACCCAGCAGCTTTGGGGATGGCAGCAGGATGCAGTCCTGAAACTCAGAAGCAACCCAGGTTCAACTCCCTGGTTTGCCACCAGTTTAGTGTTTAACATCTATCAAATGAATCCATCCCTCATGACCCCTGTCTAATAGGTGTACGAGCTGGCATCCTAATTCCAGAGTAAAGATCATATTTTGTGTTCATTCAATAAAAATGTCGTGCAGTATTTCTAAACAGTCTGTGCATTAGCCAATACAAGCATAAAAAGAGATGGTTTTATATTTAATGCACACATACAGACGGCTCCAAAATACATGCAGAGAGCTTGCTATCTAGTAAGTGGTTAGCAATGTCATTCCCATCTACATTCCTTGCTACATGTTGTATTCTTGTTCTGAAAAGATTTTCTATTGATCCAAAGTTGTATGTCATTGTGCTTTCTCTTCCCAAGAACTGTCTTCACTTGTAGACTTAACAACTTCTATTTTGGGATCTTACATTCCTGGTGCCATTAGAGACACAGATTTTTACAAGCTCCAACCACGGCTAAATGAGTTGTCTTCATCTTACCAACCTGCAATGTTATGGAGCCTGTTCTGTGAGAACCAAAAAGCAGTCAAAAAAAATCTTACTGGATTTAGACTCACAGCAGAAGCATATACAGATAGGGAAACTGAGGAAGATTTAGCAATAATGGCCTAGAGCGCAATGAACTAATGGCTGAGGAAGGAGCAGACGTTCAGGAGTGTGAGCATCCTGCAGTATAGCATAACCATCAGCCATACGTGTGCTTTCTGGCAGTCGCTTCCATATCACTAAAGCCCCAGAGAGACAGGAGACCCATTTCTAGCAGCTTTACACAGAGAACGTTTCACTGAATAAAAGTCTGAACAAGGGAAGAGAATCTGGCTCCTTGTACATAGAGGTTGCCTAATACAAGGGATGCATCGGACAAACAGGTTATCAAAATTTCCCCCTTTACTACTGAAAAGGTTTCAGCTGGGAAAAGATGATAGCTGCAAAAATCAGACCTTGCCAGCACTGAACTTCAAATCTCCAAAGGCAAAAAACATCTGGACTGGAGGGCTGCCTCCTCCTGCATGAGGATCCACACCCAGCGGCTCTTAATCCTTCGGGTGAGGTTGTAAAGAAAAGGCGACTTTGCAAAATGTGCGCCTGGAAGTAAGCTTACGCTGCAGCATCTTCCCATCAAAAGTTCCAGGATTCAATTCACTCTCGTATCCAGCTTCAATACATAATAAGCCAAGATCCACCAAAGTACTTAATCATGTTTATCTTTAAACATGCAAGTAGTTTCATCAACTTTAAGTGATTTGTTGATTGAGACCAAAATACATCGAGACCAAACCATATTGCTTCTCACTTTTATTTGTATCCATTTCTTTGGTTCTTCTCCTTCTATTTGTTTTGGCCTTTTTCAAAGGGAAAAATAATCAGGTAGGGGAAAAAAAAAAAGCTAATAACATTTAGAGCTATTTTGCTTCAAAAGTATATCCTCTTTTCACCACGCGCTACGTCCCTTAGGATCAAACCTCCCTTCTCATTCAGCATAGCATGTAAATATCTTCTCCATTAAATTAATAGCAAGAGTGAATTTGCAAGGGGAGTTCATGGGATCTCGGGTACTTCTCCCTTTTGAGGGTCAAAATCCTCTTTGAAGCAGGAACATACATTTGTTTGGAGAAGGGCTGCAGAAGTAAAAAGCTTGTCTGTGTTAAATGTCATTTTTGAGATGGAAAAGCTTTCATGGAGAAAAAGCCTTTATATTGTACCTCTCTTGCAAATGGTCAGGGTCTGGATATTTGATGTCTCTCATATATTTGCTAAAGAGAAGCATCAAAATTTACTGAAGCAGCCCTAGATTTTTGCAGCCACAAAAGGAAAAAAAGATCCTGATGCCGTTCTCCAGTTCCAGTGCTGGAGTTGCCTCAGCCAGCAGGGAATTACTTAGGATTTGGCATATGCTCCTCTTCAAAACTCCAATTAATTTACATAATTTCTAAGAATAGGTTCCACAGAAGTGAAGGCAAAGCTTTTAATTAGTATTAGACTCAAAGTGATACACTGGATAATGAACTGCTCTCTACTCCTTTTATTCACACTGACAGGAAAGACGCCTGTTTAATAAAAGCAGCTACAAGAGGACTGGAGGGGTGAGACTTTCCCCTGGTCCCCGCCAGGCTCTGCAGCCGAGCAAAAGAAATGCCTGAAATGATTATGGGTGGCAGAATCTGACCCATTACCGCTATTTCACGGCGTTCAAAGCCACCTATGAGGATGTCACCAGCCATTATTTTCTAGCAACTTCTCCAAGTGAGTTTCCATTTTCTTTGAAATGGAGACGAACAGGCAGAATATTTTTTGACCAGTTGGAGCGTTTTATAGCCTCGTGCATGGTGAACCTTTACTCCTGCTGGCAGTCAGTGCTTCCCACTGACCACACGGATTTACACCAGCAGATTGCCTGTCCCAGGGTTCACAACCCCTGAGTGGGCAATGGAAATACCCTCTGACAGCTGGAGACTAGTCAAGTAAGCTGGATCGACAATCAACAAGGGTGCAGAAGAGTCCCTTACAGCAAAGTGAAAAATCATGCCACAGAAAGTACAATGAATTAACGTGGCACGAGCACCACAGTCGCTTATTCAAAGGGTCACAAACTCTAACATGATGGATTACAGGCTGCGACGGTGCTCACGGGTAACGAATGGAAAATTGCATAACCCTCCACCGAACGTCTGTCACTTACAGCCAAATCCATTGGCAAAAGCCAGGGCTGTCACAGCTCTCACTACAAACCCCAAAAAGCAATCAAACTCAGCCCTACACTCCTGCTTTTAGAGCAGTATGCATTTGCAAATTTGCCAGCATGCACAGGCTGTGACCCGCAGCCCTGCTTTGGTATGCATCTGCATCATCTTTACCTTCCTACCGCACGTTACTTCTGCAACCCTCCTGCAAAAATACTGATGGGCTTTGCAACAGCTCACTGCAACCAGCATCACCTGCAGGGCTGAAAGCTGGAGCGTCTGAAGGTCAAATAACAAGTCAGCAACAGTGCTAGGAGGAGAACCGGGCTCCTAATTCCCAACCCTCTTCTTTAGGTACTGAGATAGCTGCATAATTTTCTCCTTCATAGCTAACAAGCAGTGCAGGTTTCAAAAATGTCAGGTGACTTGGGAGCCTAAATGTCATTCCAAAAGAGATCCACAAACATACTTAGAAAAGTATTCAGATTCTTAAGGATGCAGACAGGCTTTAGGGAAGTACCTGTGTGGATGACATGCTCAAGTCCTAATAATAAAGTTACTAAGCATTGGCTTTAGGTCTTGAACTCAAAAAGATATACTTCAAAATCATCATAGTCATTTGCCCTTTCTGGTACCTAAACACCTTGCTAAATCTGGCTTCTGAGTATTTCTACTCAGCAAAGGTCATGTAAGTGTAAACAAACTCAAATTTTCCCATGTCACAAGAGTGGAGCTCAGGTAATTTTACAGTGCACTGGGTAATGCAGATAGAGCAGGGGGACTTGGATAAGCTGCTTTTGCCCGTGACGTTCAGGGAAGCCGTACTATGCGCCGGTTGCTCTAACTGTGTCCACAAACCCAAGGAAGGGCTTCACCTTCGGATTGTGAAATGTTCATTTTCAGCCCATTCTGCTCAAGACAGAACACCGGAGTCATCTCATTTTAAACCCAGCAGCTTACACAGTGTATAGGATAAGAGGAAGAGGCTGTAATTTGAACTCTAATTTTCAAATACTCTAGAAGTCAGGGCTCTTTTGGTCCAGGACAGTCAGATTCACACCACTGTAAGACCGCAGCTTTGTGCAAAATTCAGAATTAAGTATGAATGCTGAAAAGTTGCAAAGTTGAGAGGCTGATTAGAAACACTGAGCACTTAATAAATGATTGACCTGAGCCTCTTTTAATCCTCACCAACTGTAACAGTGTGAAATGCTACTGCCTTCAGTCACATCTCTCCTGGTTTACCCTACTAAAAGGCACAGAAGAAGTGGGCCCCATCTGGTATGATTGGAACCATATTATTTGATTCAGTTTTTGTTTTCAAAGAAATTGCTTCCCCCAGTGTTTTCTCTAATTCTCCAAGAAACTGGCTGCTTCTAATAGCCTAATTTTAATCACAAAGCTCATGTGTGGTAACCAGTCACAAACACAGTAATAGCAGTGGTTAAACTGCCTCTGCAGGAATCTGGCATTTGTTTTTTAATTGAGA